CAAAAGTGAGAACCAGCTGGCTGTATATGTGATTTTGGTTTAGCGGTTTAGCTAAAAGCCCACGCGTGCTTCGATCGTCCTGAATATTGAATGAGTGCCATTTGTGGTGCAAAATTGTGAAATACTGCATTCTGTCCGAGGTCTGTATGATAAAAACAATACCTCATGGTACTATTTCACCTCAGATGTGATGTATAAATGGTATAAAAGGTTGGTTTACACGCACCCAGATTTGTTGGCAAGATTTTGTAAAGTAAACTTGTCGAACGCAAAAAAAATTGGCCTGATTTTTTTTCCAGGCCTAATTAATCTTACGGTGATCAAGAGCCATTATGGCTCTTAAATGTGATCGAAGATGATTGCTATTTTTTGGGTGTACATATGAGGCTATCAACTCGATGTAAGATTTTGTTCACTCTTGGGCTGTTTGCAAATTATTTTTCTCTAAAACCACTTTCCCTCAAAAGTCACATGAATGTGCTATGTGCTCTGAAGTTAACTGACTGCATTGTGGAATACAAGTTTATTGTTTGATTGAAACCATAAATATATTAATGGGAACCTCGCTTTTATCCCTGGCTAAATCTATATATTACCGTTCGATTGGGAAATCCGAAAAAGGATTTGCAAAACTATTCTCGTGAACAGCGGTCTTCTTTTTGCTAATTATGCATCCGCGTGCAAGACTGCTGTTCTTAAGTACAGTTTGTCAAATTCTTTTTCGGATTTCCCAATCGAACGGTAAAAAGGAAATCCAAAAACAGATATCTCAAATCCGAAATCCGGATTTTAAAATCTAAATCCAGATTTCCCAATTCAAATGCACCCTTAAAAAAAGAAGTATAGCTATGTGGTCAGCTCAATACGACCGCTGGAAAAAAAAAACAGACTCATCACAGAACACTAAAAAAGTTCTTCTAACCTATACCTTATTTCACAACAAAATCCACAACTTTTTTTTTCAGTTACTCTCACTTACATTCAAGAAATCTACTAGAAATAACTGCTACTAATAACGTCACTAAAACCGCATAATATCAAGACTAGTGTAGTTTTACACTTAAAAACAGAAATATAGCTATGTGGTCAGCTCAATACGACTGCTGGAAAAAAACAGACTCATCAGCTAAGAACACTTGGTGGTGGTTGCTAAACCTTAGAAGGTTCTTCTAATCTAAACCCTATTTCACGACAAAATCCAAAACTTTTTTTTTGTTCATTTTCATGACTGTACTTCAATCTCTTTTTTGGTTTAAATGACAAGGGAGCTTATGTATCGGTCAAATCGAAGCTTCAGCTCCCCCTCCCAGGCCAACCCCCCGGGCATCTGACTTTTTGAAACTTATTGTTCAAATTCCCCCCTACCCGGGCCCAAATGCCGTTCAAATGCCCCACACTACGGTCCATTCAGGTGATCAAATGGCCCCACCCCGGGAAAATTTCACAGGCACATAAGTGACAGAAGGATGGCAGAAACACCTTCAGTTGTTGAACAAAATCTTTATAAATACAGCAACTAAATCACATTCAAAATAACAAAAACTGAGAAACATTGTTCGCGTATTTACCACAAACAAAATTCTCCTGCAAAGCGGAGGAAATCGCTGCTACAAGGTCACTGAATGCTCAGATTTTCTTCGTGTGTCACGCAACGTACAAAGCGTTCTATAAAAAAATCCCACCTATTGAGATTACTACATCATGAGCATTTCACTGACATGCATCAATTTGCTCACCTTATATAACAATTGACCTCTGTTGAGCTTTTTATTGTTGTACAGAATCGCTGGTAATAGGCACTGTATTTCACTGTAAACACAACTTAATACATTCATATACAGCTATTTCGAGAAAGGTTGTCGGCAAAAATGTGCACGCGACAATCCCGAAAGGCAATCTGGGATATGATCAATGCACTGTTCCTGACACTGTAGCTGTCAAAACTTCTTTTGTTGCTTCCCTTTAGCACTCGCAAACATACGTCCACGGCCTCTTGTGCCGTTCTTTCAAATTTCTTTGAAGAACAGCGAACTCAAAACCACCCACAATACCTTTCGGGATTGTCGCGTGCACTTTTTCCGACAACCTTTCTTGAAATAGCTGTATTCAAAGCCTGAATCCAATATTAAAAATATTAAAATCTAAATACCTTCAAATACGGCACAAAGCTTGTTTAAGCCCTTTCCTCGTAACCAATTGGCCACAAAGGCACAACCTTTTCCACGAAAATCTTCTAACATCGTGTCCCCCATGATAGCTCGCGACGCCAGAGATTTCATATGAAATCGATCAAGGGTGCAGTTCAAATTCCCCATCCCTAATGCATGGGGATCAAATTCCCCACCCCCTGGAAGACTCTGATAATTAAAGGTGTCAAATGTCCAGGGTACGTCTGAGGGGGGATGTTGAAGCTTCGATTTGACCAATACATTTATGCCATAGAGCTTAATATGGCATCAAGGAAGTACAATCTAATACACCACTAGTTTCTGTAAAACAACATCATGATGCCAAAAAGGGACATAACATTATGAGAAATATTTACCTTGGTAATGAGGCCATGAATGAAAAACACAGGGGTCACTCAAAATGTGTGCAACAAGAGATGCTGCCATCACACTGGCACAGGAAGACCAATTCTCTGAAGGCAACTGAGAACCATCTGCGTAATCAGCTATCCCTTTCACAATTAACCACTCAATTTGACAGTCAAATGCTGCTGTAAACACTCCTATAGAACAACAAAGAAAATGGCACTTGAGTTGAAGACAGTCCTACATCAATATACAGTAGTTTACATTATTTTGCAAGTCAAACTTTCCATAAAAATGAAAAAATAATATTTAAAAGCTAACTGGAGTTGGTAGATAGATGAAAAATGAGGAAGGTGTGAACTGTGGAAATATGTACAGCCTCCTTCCCAGTTTTGTTCGTTTGGATTGCGGTTATGGACAGCTTGCACCTTAATTGCTCTGGCGGACATGCTTCAGGCAGGTATTAGGACCTCTATTCATCTTCAGTGGTGAGTTGCTTTTCTTCAGCTTTTATTGCGAGCGAATTTGGGGTTGGTGTTTAATGCCCTTGGGGAAACCAGGTCCTGTGACTCCACTGTTTGTGGTCCCTGTTTTTTTATTCAAGCATCTGTAGACTGGTTTGGGTGGGCGCCACTCCCAGGGTTGTCATGAATGCACTGATACCTCCAAGGCTCACTTAATTGCCCTCCCTTCCATTTCACCATGCACTTTCCCCACACCCACCTATTGTCAATGGGTTTAAATGTGGCTAAATGTAATTTAGGAGAGGCTAAACACGAGACAATGCTGGCCAGCAGTCTCCATTACTAATTATATATGGGGCAGTCTTGGGCTTTAGCATATTTTACAGTACTTTCCCTGAAGTCAATCATGCATTTTGCTCATGATGCTTTTGCATGCAGTAGCTTTACATGTAGCTCAGTTTTTGCTCCCAGCCTTCCCTTCCCTTTGGATATTTTTTGGTAAGTATATGAGCATTTCTCCACTGAAGGTCTCAGTGTGATGGTGCCTGAAGGATGCCACTCACAGGGTTGTCGTGGTTACCTTCTAGGTTTGCTTGGGGCTCCCTTCAGTTTCACCAGGCACCTTCCCCACACCTACATGTACGTTTTGTCAATGGGTTTAATTTGCAGATATTATCACTGTAATTATAACAGCAAATTATCTAAGCAAATGCAAATTAACCTGGAAAAAAAGGCAGCTAGGGAGGGATAAGAGGAAATTTTGAATCCATGGCCTCTGCATTAGCATGACGAAAAAGCTCTAACAACTGACAATGAAGACCCATACATTGGGAGCACAAACATCTTTACAGCAAATATTATTAATAAATCAAACAAGCAAACAATTGAGCAATGCCTTAAAATAAACACTGAATTAAAAGCAACATACACATCTACAGAGCTTTAAAAGAGACCTGACTACATACAGTAAAAACCCGTGACTAAGAACCTGGTTTTTAAGAACCTGTTGGGCTAAAATTTGCCACTTAGGCCCCTCTATACAAGAACCTGTTAAGCCTAAAAATTAAAACAGGTTCTTATTTTCAAAATTTTTTAAAAAATGTTTTGTACACTTGGGCAAATAGGATAAGTCAACATTCAGGATCTCCTTTGGAGACATAAGTGCCTTATCACCCCAACTGGGATGCATTGGTATGCAGATTTTCTGCAAAGAATAAGCTGAACACCACTAAATACTCTTAGCTACAATTTATTTTTCCTTTAGAAAATAAGAACCTATTTAAGAACCTAAATAGCCTAAATTTGTCCCTACTACGTACCATTTATGTAAGAACCTATTTATGCTAACTTGGGAAAAAGCAGGTTCTTAGTTACGGGTTTTTTCTGTATACTTGCTAACGCTGGCTGAATACAAAGTGAACTCACCTTCTCCTTCATTTTCTATTGCCATTGCCTGAGGACTGGCTTCAGCAAGTTGATCACGCCACCACTCAGCTCTGACTTCTTCTGGTCCAGTCAGAAACTCTGCATCAGTATAAACTTGAACTTGCTGTGTTTCAGGGTTCTCAAAAGGAGCTTGCCAGCCATCAGCACAATTCTTAATGACATTCAGAAAGCGTTTGCTCACATAACTTCTCATGCCAGTTGACTGCTCTTGATTGTTGGTCACTACCTTTGATGCATACGTTGCTAATTTGGCAGATACAACAACATCTCCTAACTTGGATTTTGCAGGGTTGAGGCCACTACATGTGCCTACTGAAATAACTGCTTTGGGTCTAAGCACAGAGGCAGCATTCTTTACAGACACAAGAGCACCACCAGGACCAATACCATTTCTGTAACATCTTAATAAAGCAACTTTCAGCTCTTTTTGACTTTCACCCACATCAGAAAAGTAAACATAGCCAAGACCATCAAACCAACATCTATAGGGTTTTTTTAGCTCACTGTAGCAAGCTAAGAACTCACAGTTTGTAACTGTAAGTAACAGAATATCAACCGGCAGATCAGCATCTTTTGATGGTTTGGTTATTGCCTTAATGTCAACTAAGGATGGGAGAACTTTATTAAGGTCAGGAGGGTCCCTAGTGTCATTTCTTGAAGAAGACTTGATATCAGTAGTAAGCTGGGGTGTATCGCTATGACTACCCTCTGATGTGCTTGTTGTATCCTGCGAAGATTTGAATATCTTGGATCCTAATCAGTGCATGAAAATAAATAAACAAAGCAGTTATAGTTACTAATAGATAATAATTTAATTTGTTTACCCAATCACACATAGGAGCTCAGAGGAACTCATTTGAAAGTGTTAATGAGTTCCTGGTAAAATCAGAATTTAAAAGTGTTGGTTTAGTACTGTTGAGAAGGAGTGTATTATCAAGTTTAAAGAGTTGAGGCAAAACACGACTGCAAGTTTTTTGAATGGCTTCAAAATCTCTGATATAGATCAACTCATTCTTGCACTAATATAATTTAGATTTGGGGTTATTTGGTCTAAATAGTTAGATGTAGTAAAGTTTAATAGCCGTGTCTTTGTCAGATATCAAAACACTCATTAAACATTAAATTCTGTGTTTTTTATAAATTATTAATGAGTTAAATTTGAAATTAAGGAGAAGGGAAAACCAGAGTACACTGAGAAAAACCTTGCAGAGTGGGGGAAAAAACAACAACAGCAGGAATTGAACCCAAATCACATTGGTGCGAGACAAGTTTAGTACTCTGATGGGCTAAAAGAAGAGCTTGAGGAGGTGAAGGCCATGTTGCCAGACAGGACACAGAGAGCCGTGGACCTGGCCTGTGTTAAAGGCGCATCCAACTGGCTTACAGTTATTCCTCTCAAAGACATGGATTTTGATCTCAACAAGCGGGAATTTCATGATGCTGTGAGGCTTCGGCTGTTCACAGTCCCCTATTTTTTCGTGTGATCGTTTGAATATACCATGTTTTACCGTCACGGCATGTACGGAGGGGGGGGCGACGAGGATTATAGCTCTAGGAGGGGGGGGGACAAGAAAAATAGAGGGACTGTAATATCATCACTGCAGTTCGCGTTCACGGGGCGCGTTGTACCAGCAACACAGGCGTTTGATTGGTCATTAGACAATAGATGTTAATTTATGCTGACAACGGGTTTAGTTTCAATTGCCCACACTGACAAGTCGACGTTTCCATGAAACGTACGCTTTCATACCATAAGGCACATCTTGCGCAAACACACGAAGGATTTTTGGTATTTTGATTAGAAAAATGTTTTCTTGCATATGTTTGCCGATTTTATTTCGAGGAATGGCCTAGAAACATTATAAAATCACTGTTTCGGAAGTAGATATTTGTAAACACACGTAATCGATGCTAAATGTGTCTGGCATGTTTTTCATCACCAATGGAGTTTCTTAATTAATGAATGGTTAAAGGCGTGAAATTGCTGTCATGCCTCCTGAACTCGAGCTGCAGTGATGTTATTACAGTCCCTCTATTTTTCTCACCTCCTCCCAAACTGCCCCCGCCCCCTAAGTAGTTTTGACACTCATGCAAAATCTTATGGAAAAATAGAGGACTGTGAACATTCTACCGATAATCTGTCAGGCCGAGCTGCTTGACATGGTTTGTTACAATGTGTAAGTTGAACCGGCTTTACAACCTATTACAGGCGAAGAGCTTGCCAGAGGGACTAACCAAGCCCCTGACGCACGCCTTGACGTCCACTTTAGGGGTTTCTGGAAGTGACAGAGGGCTGCATTTTTCGATATAAGGGTGTGTCATCCCAATGCGGACTCGTATAGAGATCTTAGCCCCAAGCAAATCTACAGGATTCATGAAAATGAAAAGAAGCGAAAATACAACTCTCGTGTCACAGAAATAGAGCAAGACACATTCACCCCACTGGTATTTACAACGACGGGAGATGTAGCTGACGCATGCCTGAGATACCACTCAAGATTAGCCGAGCTATTATCTGCAAAGAAGCAATTAATTATATGAATCTTGTGTACTGTGTTGTTCAATCCAGTTTTCAATAATGATCCACAGTGAAAGACATTCACCTACATATGAAAGCGGTTTTGCACACACTTCCTAGCCGAAACAAAAAATTGACATTTTACTGCTGGAAAGGTGTTAAAGGCTGGTGTTCCTGTGGTATCTCAACGTAGTGCATGATGGGAAAGGGAGAGACGACATGTTGGTCTGAATAAACTTGTATTGGTGAATATCTGCTGTCTGGTCTCTGATCCAACATCTTATATCAACCTATTTATAAGTGGTTTTAAGGTCGTGTTTGGGTCTTAGATCTTAGGTCTTCGTTTTCTACTCACCCACAGAGGGAGCCTCTCTCTTTTGAAAACCTGTGAAAATCTCGATGTTCTTATGTCGCGTGCGCAACGCAAAAAAGGGAATTACCGTTTCCGAGGTCAAGTTAACAAAAACAAAACTTACCAGAAGCTTTATCCGTTGTACATAGTAAACTTGATTTAACTTTAGGCATAACCGTTAAAATACACGTCGGATTTAAAAGTGGACGCCGTCGCTCATCCAAATGTAACTTCCGCCCTGTTTACTCCACATAACACATGCGCTCCCTGACTCATTGGCCCAACCTCGTCCCCAGGACCGTTCCCAGGGTATTGCAAAGCGAGAAGACCCTGGGGACAAGAACGAGATACAGATGCGAGAGATGCGAAGGCAGAAGAAAGCATGAGGTAACCACGAATAGCCGGTTTGGCAGTTGTTTGGCCGAAGGTCTTCAGTTAACCTGCATTAATGTATCCTAAGCAGCGAAATAATGGATTTCATCCGCTCTTAAAAAAACGTGGGGACGCTGCCACTTTAGCTGCGTTGTTCGTAGTTGCGTTTTCAGGAGTCATCCTTTTCAACGTTGCCTGTGCCTCCGTAGAGCAACTGCGTTCTCATATCTTTGGAGTTGCCCTTTTAACCCTAAGTTTAGAACTCGGCGAGGTAGTGAGAAGACTGTGTCTCGTGATCGAGGAAATTCAACACAAGCAAACTCGATACGAAGGAAGCTGGATGAGGGTTCTTTATTCCTCTTTCGATTTTAGGAATGGCGGCACTATTGTGGTCCTTGGCACTGTGTCCTTTCTGGTAGTGTCTGTTGTTTTGTACCTAGATTGTGACACTTTTTGTCGGGCAGAATATGCGGTTTTTTTCTTTGTAAACTGCTTCGTGGCACCTCAGCTGTTGTTTCTTTTTGGTTTCCGAGATCTTTCTAGAGTGGAAGTATCGCAGATCATCGAGAAGGAAAACAAAAATGTGGCCGCTGGTCTAGCCTGGAGCTACTACTTTGGTTACTTGAAGCTGGTGTTACCACATCTTGAAGGGCTGATCGGAAAATCAGATTACAAGTACAAGATTGCAAAGAAAAAGCTTTTCATATTGCTTCCCAAAAACTGCTACGCGTACAGTAGAATTTCGGACGCAGACCCGAGAATAAGATATGCAGGGAATCTCCCTTCACTTGACATTAACAGAGGTGGGATATTGCAGCGATCCTATAAACACCCTGTACACCGAATAGAGATGCCACGCCCAGATGGAGAGATTGATAATTATTATGTGGTTCTGGAGTATGCCACACCGCTGATGTCCCTGTACGATATGTCTGAAAACCCAGAGTGTGGTATGAGTCGAGAAGAGCGGGATGAACAGGTAACTTTTAGCCTTAATCCATAAATGCTTATGAGTGACTCTTAAGAAAAAAATTTGATCTTTTGGTGTTGACCAATATGTCGGTTGACATATCAGTCAACATATCAGCTGAGTGTCAGTCCTGTATCAGTCAATTGTTGGTCGAGTATCCATCAAGGATCAACAGATTGTTCTGGGCAACTGACCTCATTCTGGGCCGACCTCAGGTCAAAAACCATTCTCGGTTTGTTCGCTTTTTAAGAAACTGTCCTCAGGTCAAAAACCATGCTCTGTTTGACTTACGTTCTCTGTGTAACTGTGCTCGGTTTGACCAACTGATGTCAGGTCAAAGACTGACCTCGGTTTGCGTTATCTCTGTCAACTGTCCTCGATTTGTTACCCACCACGACATCAGCAAACTTCTGTAATCATACCAAGGTCAGTTTTGTGTCAATGGATGGTGTTGGAAGGCAGCGCTTAAACCGGGCGCTTAAATCTCTCTTCACTTTCACTCTTCTCATTATCAGAACTAAACAAGGCATTTGACACAAACAAATACAACTGATTTTTCTTCCACAACAAGTAAGTACAAACTCAGTTCAACTTACATGTATCCTCAGCTCACAACATTCTTTTATGAGAGATTGTTGCAAGCTCTTTCTTCCTCGGCCCCTTGTGGCAACCGTCCCTCACCCAGATAGGAAAGATTGCTTCCAAAATTGACCCTGTTACATTTTATAACAGGAGAATGACAATAATTTTTGCAATTTCTAGTTGGATCAGATTAGTCATGTAAGTAACAGATCTCCACTAACATGTGAGCAGAGCCCCATTGCTAAGAAAATTTGGTAATCTATCCGTCAGAGAAATTTTGGCATCGGCATACAACCCCCCATCTGTACAGACAAAGGGAATCAGGAGTCACCCCGACTGGAGGGGAATACATGTATGTTGTATTTTCTTGGCACGAAAACAAGCAATGCGTTGGGGCAACTCACATTTTTCTTGGCCGGGGAAATCATATGGCCACGTTGTGGTGAATTGACAGCTGTCAAGACAGGATATTCACTGACCAGTATCACATGATCGTATCACGGGCTTAGATGTCGACCCACTGGGTTTGTGGTTGTTTTAAGTTATCAAAACTGTCACTTATTAAAACAACTACAAATTTGCATAAATTCAAAACAACTTTGTTTTGCTGTCAATTGTAGTGGTCACCAAACTATTGCTGTAAGAATTAAGACTTAGCTTGCTTAAAAACCACTGAGCAAACTGTTGCAATCAAAGGAAATTTTCAAATATGGACATGCATGGAAACTTGTGTGAAAAAAACATGTTTTCTAATTTGACAAGGTGGAAAATACCATAATATTCTGCAAATTCCCATTTGGGTGGTGCTTCATCTGAACTTCAATTTTTTCCAAACTTTTTGTGTTCTCTGCACAATTTGCAGGTGCAATGCATCAGATTTTTTATAAATTTCCAGACACTACATTTGCATTTCATGGAAAGAATAAAAGATACTGCAAAAGTCAGGTTTATATGTGAAGTACCACCCACACGGCAGTTTAAAGAAAAATGGTATTTTCCTCTTTGACCAATAACAATAATAATTTGCACATTAATGCAAAACTCGACTACCAGGCATAGTAGTTTTGCAAGTACATGGTTTTTGACAGATATTCAATCTTTCTTTGCATGTGACTTGGCATTTACTTGTTTACATACTGCTTGAACCTGTATAGCCAGGTTTTTTGGTGGGGAGGTGTGATCCAACAAGGAGATTAGGTTGTCATAGACTGCATTGCGAGCTTTTTGAATAACGTGGTTATTTCTCAAACTTTTAAAATTCAAAAATTATTCTTTTTTCAAAGAGAGCACTTTGTTTTACAATAATGTCAAAGTCACTATTTAAAAAGAAAAAATGAATAGAAAGAAAGATCTAAAGATGTAAATCTTTATTACTTATTTCCTCAAATAATAGCTGGGGGTGATTAATCCTTTTCTCGCATCAAAAGAGGGCGATTATTTGAGGGAAGGCGATTATTCAAGGGAGGCGATTATTTCAAATATTGCTCACTGGAAGTCATGCTCTAAATATTTTGTTATATTAAAAGCCTTTTTGTTTCCTTTTTAAAATGAGCAAATGTCAGCTTTTATTCATTTTTTGTTCATTTTCATTTCATTCATTTGTTTGGGTTGTGAACCCATTCACACGTGCGCCACACCTTGTAGAGCTGAAAGGGTGTAGCACTTTGTCGTTTTAAATCAAAACACGCACAATGCCTTGTAGGTCTTCTAACTCCTTCTTAGTCCATGCTTTTTGCTGCCGGGCATCAGCCGGCAACAGACCATTATTCTTGATCCATTTGAGATTTTTGGTTCCATGGTTCCATGCTCATCTGTGACTGCAGCACTGTGCAGTCAGCGGTTTGCTTAGCTGCCGCGTCTGTTTTTCTCTTAGGAGCAACCCGCCATTTTGTTTTGCTCTCATGTAAGATCTGTGCAGAAATCGTAGTTTATCGGATGCTTGCTGTCTTTTTAAACGGCCTAAATGGTAAGAACAGTTCAAGACGTATTGTACGGAACATTTTTTCGGTTAATTTTGTTTATTCAGGTTTCAAGATTAGTTATAGCGAGTATTCTTTTGTGACACAGATTGTTATCTCGGTAATCAGGATTGTAAGTTACATAAGTGAACAGCATGTGCTGTACATCTACAAACTGTCTTCGCAACTAACGGCAGCACTTCCCTTCTCAATGAGAACTTCTAGTACTATACTTTGTGTAGGTTGTTTAGATTCCTAAACAGTCTTCTATTTGCTTTACCCTTTGTTCACCTATCTAAACTGCAACGTCTCCAGAATGCCCTGGGGGGGTACTCCCATACATTACCTATACTGGTATGTGCCGCCCAACGGGGGCGTGATTTTCAAGCTCCTGATTTAGAACGGGGTGTCCATTTCAGAGGCGTTTTCTAGAATGGGGTATAAAAAATTGTGGATCACGGCTTTATCTTCTGCTTAAAATTGTCGCTGATTATGAAGAAGCATTTATTTGATGTATAAGTCGAACAAATAAAGAAATATCTTTATAAAAAAACAGGGCTATTTCAATTTACAAGCTTTCTAGAATGGAGTATAAAAAATTGGCCCATTTCTAGAAAGGAGTATCAGTTTTAGGGCGAATTCTAGAACAGGGTATCAATTTCAGGGGAATTTTTTTTAGATTGGGGTGCCAATTTGGAGTCCCGGGCGGCACATACCCACCCAAAAATACCCAAGTGCCCCCTCCGGGCCAGAATGCAGCTGCTAGGATTCTAATGTACCTCACTACAGTTACATAACACCTGTACTATGTTCATTAAGTTGGTTTGTTGTCAAAATTCATATTGATTTTAAAATAGTTCTTCTTACTCTTAAAGCTATCTATGGTCAGGCACCTAAAAGAACAGCCGCGCTACAGTCTCCATTCAGCTAAAGATCTTATCATAAAATGTCTTAGTTTAAAACTGAAAAAGACTCTAAGGGATCATACCTTTTTATCTGCAACCCCTAACTTAATTATGGATTGATCTACCCCTTCACGTCCATGGTGGGGACAATTTTTAATATTTTTAAAAATCTTAACTTCAAATGCATCTTTTTAGACTTGCTTTTGATGTGTATTGTTTTTAACCTATTAGGTAATGTATTAACTGTTCTGTTTACATTTCTAGGTTTATTTACTTTGTATCTTTAAAATTTACTTATATTTGTTTTTAAACGTTTCAGCATGATTGTAATGCACTTTTGATCATGTTTTAATCATTATTATTATTGTTATTGTTGAAAAGGCAATTGTATAATTTTATCTATTTTCAACATTATTTTGGAACTTAGAAAAAAAGGCTTAATCTAGACTTTGCTCACATTTTCCTCAAAATGTTTTTGTTTTGACAGGTACTGCTGTTTATCTGCAAATTAAGAGAAATTTTGGACAGTTGTAAAGACTGTAGAGGAAAATATAAATTAGTGCCAATCTCAGGAGCGGGGTGGGAGATTGCTGATGCGTTGGTAGGCATTCATCATATACATGGATGGTAAAGGTGGGCTAAAGATTTTCGAAATGCTGCCCAAGTAATACTGAGGAACAGTGATGCCCTAGAGCTATGTTACTATTTTCTTTTTTAATAAAAGAAACCATGTAAAGATTATTAATTTTAATATGATTTACTACTCGCTGATAGTTCGCCTCTCAGTAGATATGTAAATGTTACCTAAGATCAGCAGTGTCTTAGTTTAAGCCTAAACCCACCATATTTTAAAGTAAGAGGTAGGTATTCTTAAATTATGATGGGCACTTACTTCTCAATAAGATTTTTCACTTCATGACTTAAGATTTTACAAGCGTCTTAAATTAACATCCTTTGAAATAGTTTTTCAAAAAAGTCACTCAGTTTGCTCCCGTTCACCTATTTCACAAAGAAAATAAAAGCATATAGTAGGTTAAGGATTTTTTTTCTGTAATTTAAATAGGCAGTGTCAATTTACGAGAAGAAAATCTTATCCCATGATTTTGTTTTAATTTTCTCTCAAAATAAGAAATCCCAACGTTAGAGTGAGTCACACCGTCATACTTTAAGATTGTAGTATATTATTTCAGGGAAGTGACATCTAAAAAAGAAGCAAATATACTTGAACTAAGACACCCCCAAGAATTCCCCAGCCTGCCCTCGTAAAATGCGTGTTCTTGTGATAAAAAAAAATACTCCAAAAAGTCCTTGAAGGAGAAAATAGCAAATAATGAGGTTCAGGGCATTTAGGGAAGAAATTTAAAGATTCATATAATTAAGCTTAAACTCACACTGGCAGCTTTGTTCGAACCAGTTGTTACTGATATGTCTTGGGAAAAAAGCATTGACAAATGGAATATGGTTTAAAAGTAAATCCTGGACAAGGATTTCTTGGGCCAGGGGCGTTTTTTCCTTGGGGTAAAATAAAACCCATAACTAGCATTATTATTTTGGTCGAAAGTGGAGCTGATATCAACGCATGGTCAGGAGATGAGCTAACACCTCTGATGATCGCCTGTGAAAATGGCAAACTTAATACAGTAATTCTACCTTATTGATCAAGGGGCTGAAGTAAATCTGGAAGACAATGTTGGTGATACAGCTCTGCATAAGGCTACTACTTTGAGTGACAATTATTATGCGTTAATAAGCTGTTTGATCAATAGTGGGGCTAATGTTAATGCATTGACAAATGACAACTTCACCCCTTTGATGCCGGCTTGTGATATAGCGCTTTGCACTAATGACGTCGCAAATTTCTGCTCCCTGTTGTGACTCAGACATTGAACCTGATCAGTATAAGAGTTTTGTATGGGAAAGTCACGTTCCCGAACAATTTTTCGTTGTCTTTGAAGATTTTTATCGTCGACCCTGTACAAAGATGTGCTTGATTCCCATGCTTCTATTAAGTCGAAACAAGTGAGAGGTGACCAACTTTCTTGAATTGCTCCTGAAATTCAACGCCATATTTTTTATCGTAGCAAACTTTATAAAATACACAAAAAGAATCCTTCTTCTACCACATGGGATGCTTACAAAGTCCAACGTAACAAAGTCACATCATTGAAAAGGAAAGCAGTTCGTACAGATCATGTTATCAAGGATTCTCGATCTGTAGCGGAATGCTTTAATTCATATTTCGTTAATGTTGCAAATCATGAAACGGAGGTTTTGGAAGTTGGCGATCTAGACACCCACTCCAGTGTAATGTCAATAATGGGTGGTGATCGGTTACATTAGTTTTCATTCAACACAGTTCGCACTGAATGCATTTCCAATCATGGACAAAAGTCCTTTGGACAGTAATGTAATATTCATATTTTCTGTCATTTCTGGATTCCTTCATAAAAAAGTGCATCCTTTTCGAAATTTCTTGCAGTTCTCCCTCCCCCCACCCTATGCAAAGTCGAAACTCGGAAAAAATTCTGGATACATGCGTCCAACTTTGTTTGTGGGATGAGGGGAGGGGTTGGGCTTGTGTAAATTGGAAAACGCCCTAGAGATGCAAAAGTGTCTCAAGACGTCTGCCCATAACTGTCTGAAAAAGAGGTGACTGAGGCGAAAAAGGTCAATTTTGAATGGTTTTCAAGACTGTAAAAATGTTTTTTCGGACTCCTGATAAAAGATCGTAATAGAACAAACCTTTTCCCAGCTTTTCGGAGTTTTCTGAACGTGTTTGAAGGATTCACTCACACCGAATGATATACACCAGGCCCCGGTTGTTCAAACGTTGGATAGCGCTATCCATCGGATAAATCACTATCCAGCGGATAAGTATTAGGAAAACCGATTGCACTATCCACTGGATAGAGATTTATCCACCTCTTATGAACCTCTTTCAGCAGATCGACTTCTCCATGTGCCGACGCATTCCTTCTGAACATACTCAGAGCAAGTGGAAGTGTATCAGCTCTTTCTTTGGCCTTCCCTCTCGTTCGTTGCTGTCGTACACTCCGTCCGAATTCTTTCGCAAAGATCTGCAATGCCTTCCTTTATCGCTCCTTTCCCTTCGCGCTCGTTTCCTCGTCCATATCCTCCTTAAGATTTACTCCTGCCGTGCGACTTTCGAAGCCATTCCGGTGCCTTTGGACCCAGCTTTCTCTGTGTGTAATGGCTTTGAGGACAGGTATAAAAGATAAACGAGGATTGGTAGAGCTTCTCTATTGATTGTAAACGGCAACTGGGCCGCCACGATGCGTAGTCGTTCAGAGCGGGTGTTCTCTCTCCACTAAAAAATTCAGGCTCCAAATCTTAGGTGGTGATACCTTTCGGGGCCAACCGTTACATAAGCCGAGGCCGAATAGCCCAAAGGGCCGAAAAAAATTCCTGTAGATCAATATTGTCACTAAGGTCTGTAAATTTTGTGCAAAACAAAATAGCCACTGCACGAACGAGGTC